GGTGGGATGCTGCGCGGGCGGGGACCCGGCTCCCGCTGCCCGCGAGGGTTTTTTCCCCGAAGGCTGTGCCTGTGCTGAGAAACTGGAACTCTTCTTCTCGGTTTTGGACACTTGTGCAAGTCCCAGTGGTGAAACTCACGCGTGGGAGTGAAACCGTGCTCTCCCCATAGGGTAACCGTGACGCCGTGCTGCTGCGGGCACGGCGAGGTCCCTCGGAGAGCAGCCACCGCGGCCGCTTAAACCATACGTTTCCCGAAACAGGCTGCATCTAAGACCACAGTGTGAGCTGCGTGCAAGCCTTTCATTTACAAAGTATAAAACCACAGGAGTGTTTTCTCATGCCTTTGGGTCCGCTGTGCCAAATGAAAAAACTTATCTGGAGGCTTCTCAAGCTTTCAGGAAACGCTGTAAGGGGAGCCAACCTCTGAACGCATCATGCTTTTTACTGGGAATTGACAAGCCTTCGTAAAACCTTTGGCGAGAGCCTCCTCAAAGTGCGGGCAAGCACCCTAGAGAGGGTCCTTTGTGGCAAGGACCGGGTGGTGTGGGAGAGGAGAAATCAGATGCCTTGTGTTAGCCAGATTTTTTTTTCCATCTGTCTTGTTCACGCCAGGTCTTTACAGTCTGTTACACGCACCTGTCTTCCTTAGCGTTCTGCATACCTGGGGTTTTTGCAGGTAGGAGAAGGTGTGGGAGCAGGAGGCCAGAGGTGCCTGCAAAGGGGCACAGCGTGTGCTCAGACAGAGATCTCTGAAGGTGAGAGCCCAAAGTGGCCGCTGGTGAGGGCACGTATGCACAGGGACAGTGTCTCTGGAGAAGGTCTGGGTGCAGGGGAGCAAGCAACTTCTGCTTTCACCCTGTGAAGTGCGTTTGAGTTGATTTGTTGGGTGCGAGAGCAACATTGGAAGGATTGGGTCTGTGAAACAGTTTTTATTTAAGCAGGGTGTAGATTTAAAACTCTTTGTCTTCCAAAGGTGGGTAACTGACGCATTCATTTCATGTATTTCTGCATCAACTGTAGACACATGAACTACGTTATTTCTCTAGAACGCATGTCATTAGGTTTTACTCCTCTGCTCTAACAGGGTTTGTTTGCGTTGATTGTTTGTGTTGCAGCAATGGGCCAATACCTTTTCTATTTTAGTTTCAATGCCAACAATTATTTTAAAATAGTTAAATCACAATAGTAATGGACTGTTCATCGATACTACTTTAGGGTTTCTGTTACTCAGTTTCAATAAAGCAAAACGATTGTGTTTTCATCACTTTGGAAGAGTGCCAATTAATTATATGTTTATTTGTACTGTATATTTAATAGCTCTCTTGCTTTCGAAGATTCTTCTTGTTTATCTCTTTTTCAAAAGGGAGGCTTAACAGAATGAGTAAAGCATTTCAAATGGCAATGCTAATGCATGCGGTGATGATATGAACATGCTTACGGTGGATTTTTTTTTTTAATTATTTCAGTCTTATACCCAGGTCTATGTAAAAAGACTGTTCGTGTTCCTCTTCAGAAGAAAAACCCCAACAAATCAATCCACACAGACGTGTTATGTCCACAGTGCTACTGGAGCGCTACTTAGAAAAAAATTCTTTTGACGGTCTCTGTGAGAGTTCATGCACGTAGCCTGATGGGCCCTAAGTCAAGGGCATGTATAATAAATGATGACATCATAAAGGCTGTACTTACTGGAAATCATTGATGCTGGCCAATTTGGTTTTGTTGCGTAAGCTCAGAAGGAACGGTAGGCATCGGGATTTAAATTAATTATATTCAAGGCTGCTTTTAAAAAAGTGTCTGAGGCAAGGAAGAGAAAGAAGGCTGTATTTAAGTCTTGGATGTCTGAGAAGTTGCTGGGGGAACATGTACTAAAACATTTGTTTGTTTTTGAATGCTCCCACAGTATCTGGAATAGTGCCAAAACCCCAAAATGCAAGAATTATTTCAGTTAATCTTCGTAGCACTTTACAGTGGGATGCACCTCAGTTTCACAAAGGGAACGTAAGTTACACTGTCCGATCCAAGAGGTAAGTCTGGGGGGGAGTCGCGCTTTCTCTAATTCATGTTTCACAGCTGCATGTTTGTGATTAGTTTCCTTTTTTATGGGAAGATCAGTGGTTGTCCCTTTCTGTTAGCTTGTGAGAGGCTTATATTCTGAGCTAAATAACAGGGCAGAGGCATTTTCTAAACATTTCACGCCCGAGGCAGCTTTGTACGTACTGGTTTTGGAACCAGAAATACATTTTAACATTGGCTGTTACTGGCTCTGTGTGTGTGGTTTTTCTCTATCGTGTAGCTGTACCTGCTATTCAAGAGACTTAGTCCTGCTGAGCGTTAGGACCTTACCTGATCTTTCACTCCTGCAGCGCTTTGTGCTCTGCCACCAACGAAGCTGGCTTGCCTGCACCCTTAGCAGAAATGCCCGATGAACTGCAGGCTGGTGGCTCATCCATTAGGTGCCTTAAACTTAGGACACATTTTCTGAGGCCTCTTTTTGTCGGTTTTGGTGGGTTGATTTAGCTTTGATTTGGTTTTGCCACTGTGTCTTTCTGAGTTGATCTTCCCTGTCGGGCAGGGCAGTCTGTGCGGCTGTACCGAGGAAGTCAGCCACTCCCCCAGCCTGGCTGTGGGCTCTTTGCCTGCCTCTGTGCTTGACAAGGAAACCATGTGATGGGCCAGAGTTCTCACCTTCCTGCCAAAGGTTGAATTCTTTGGCAGAGACAGGGTAGGATGTAAAGTGGAGATGATGGCATCTGCAGGCAGGGGCCTGCTGAGGAGAAATCCCCAAACTGAGGGTATGGGCCATCTTAGTCAAAAGATTTTTCTGGGTTCTGCTAGTAATTACCCATTGATCACTACATTCCTGCATTCCTGTTTTGCTTTTGATGGAAAACAGAAAGAATATAATTTATTGTACGGTTCCCAGTCAGTTCTCAGGCTCTGTTTTCTCTGGCTTTTCCTTATGTACGTGTCTTAAAGACAGTTCTGAACGAAGTCCAAGTGAGACAGCAAAGCCCTTGCCTAGCAATCTTGCCTTAATATTTGCAGACTTGGCTGATAACTACTGTCTGTTGAATCAAGTTTTGTAACCACTGTCAAGAAAAGGGCATCTATTTACTGAATCATAATTTTAGTCTCTAACTTCATCGCAGATTTATAGATGCATAGAAAAAGCTTAATGTGTGTGTATACACTAGCTATGATGTTTCTTATATGCTGGGTTTAATTTTTCTTGTTCGTGAGTCATAATTGGTTATATTAACAGAGATGTGCCACTTTTCCAGTTCAGAGGAAAGACATTTAGTCAGTAATAATTTACCCATCACATATATTTTGTTTCTCTTCCATACAGCATCAATTTCTATAGAGACACATACGAAAAAGTGAGCACAAACTTGAGAGTCACAGAGTGTGATATCTCTTCTCTGTCTGCATATGGAGACTACATTTTACAGGTCAGAGCGGAGTCTGAAAATAACCATTCAGAGTGGGCGACCATCAGATTTAAGCCAATGGATGACAGTAAGCCTTTTTCTAATCTTCCACAAAAACTAAGGTCTGCTATTAATGCACCTTTACAGTTCAGCTCTGTAAGAAAAGCTACAGTATGCAGATCATTTTTAAATTTAATGACATTGAACTATAGTATCTTAGTTGTAACACTTTCAGTTTTTGAAGGCAGAGGTTGCTGTCAGAAAACATAGTAAGTTCACTATTATAGTAGATGTTTGTTGGCCGAATAAAGTGACTTGGCACTTGACTCCGTTTTGAGTCTTAACTCTGTTTCCGAGAATGTAAAAGGAACCTAGTCACGATAAAATATTGGAGTTAATCAGAAGTTAAGCCCAGCCACCCCCAACCTCCCAGAATTATCTGAGGTCAGTTGGAAAGCAAGGGGGTTTAACCTCTGCCAAATTGTTCAACCCAATAGTGGATCGTGACAAGGGGGCCTATAGGAAAGATGGGGAAAATCTTTTTAGTAGGGCCAGCTGTGACAGGACAAGGGGTAATGGCTTTAAACTAAACCAGGGTAGGTTTAGACTGGATATAAGGAAGAAATTCTTTACAATGAGGGTGGTGAAACACTGGAACGTGTTGCCCAGAGAGGTAGTGGAGGCCCCACCCCTGGAAACGTTCAAGGCCAGGTTGGACGGGGCTCTGAGCAACCTGATGGAGTTAGCGGTGTCCCTGGTCACTGCAGGGGGGTTGGACTAGATGACCTCTAGGGGTCCCTTCCAACCCAAAACATTCTATGATTCTATGATTCTATGTTATTACTGGTACTTGAAACATCTTTTGAAGAGGTTTTAAAAAAAATTATTTTTTCCCCTTAAAATAAGTCTTCGTTCATATTTTTCAGCCAGGGAGAGCTTTTCTTCAAGGATTCAGACTTCCTGTATATCTAAATAAGCTCAATTACTTTCTTAGTTGCTTTGTCAAGCAAAAAGCTTTGGGTTTATTTTTTTAATCACAAATCACAGTGAAAGATTAATTTTTAGTCAAGAGATCTTCATTGCACAGTATTGCCGTTCTCTTGGTGAAGCTTTACAGTCTTTTGTGAGAGAAGATTTAGAGGCTGCCTTGCCTTGCATTGGAGTGTACAACAGAGATGTTAATCACCTTGCTGTCACCTGAGCTTGGGAATGAGGGAATGGTTTTTACCGATGGGCATCCTTTATTTTGTACATTCTTACGCCACTCATAAGCAAAAATGAAATTATTGTAGATTATGTAGTTAACGTTACCCAAGGCTTTTTTTCTCCTCATAGCTGTTAATACAAAACCATGCAGGAAGCTTCTGTTACACCTTATCTTTGAGAAAAAACTTTTAAAAAACCCTTTTTTTCTTGTTCTGCCTTCACTTGCTTGAATTTCATAATTCCGTTCCTTGGATTTCAGAGTGTAATTTTACAGTTTACAGCCTTGTTTTTTCAAAATGCTTTTATTGGTTTTCTCTTTCCAAAAGCCTAATGTTGATATAATTTAATATGTGTAGAACAGAAGCACTGAAACATAGCACAGGAAAAAAAAAAAAAAGAACCTCCAAGTATAAATTACAGCCAAAAGAAAGTGTAATACAGAAAGTATGAGTGGATTTTCAGAGCAGAGAGCAAATGTGTAAATCATTAACAGAGTTGTAGTTTGACATAAAAAAAAGAGTGTGTGGCCTTCAAAGCAGGCTTGGCTTTGGAAAGGCAGCTTATTCCTGAACTGAGAAAATCTGCGTATAAAACTACCTGGAAAGAAAAAGCTGGGAGCGCTGGCCAACTGGCCAAATCTCTGAGGAGGACATGAGGATTTTTAATGGTGTCATAGCTGATCTGAGCAGGGCATCACGGTAAAAATATCTGATGTCCCTTTCTGTGTTGTTTTTATTTCTGCTAGTGCTTTTGTAAGATATTCCACACTCTATTGTAGGAATGGCCTAAGAAAACCAGAGTAACCAAGACCCTCCTCACGTTATTTTTCACAAGTTCAACAATATATTCATGAGCATTACATGAATGCATGGTCCAGCAAGTAGATTTTTTTATTATTATTATTTTCTTCTTAATTAAAGAAACACAGATTTCTAGAGGAATGCAAAATTATCTGTATATTGAGCTCTTCCTTTCTTAGACGCTTGGCAGAACTTTAGTAGAGGTAGCCGAGGCAGAGTTGTTTGCTGGAATTACAGGAGACTTTAGTGGAGAGCTCGTTGCAGACACAGTGTAGTTGATAACTAAGCTACTCATGAATTAATTTAGGTAGTGGCACAAAAACGTAATAAGGACAAGCCATTTTCAAAATACAAGAATATAATACTCAATCTAAAGAGCTCAATCTTGAAGGCATGCAGAAATAATTCAAATGTTTCATTTTTTCAAAGTGATCATAATGAAAGAAACATTAAAACGCTTCACTGGAGGGTCTCCTCAGAAAAGACAGGTGTTGCAACAGCTTGGCCCAGAAAGAGAAGTGTGTAATAACCTATAGAAATAGTCCTTCCTCTCCCAGGAGCGACCACAGGTGGCAAAAGAGAACTGAGCTAGTTTAGTGTATGAGAAAAGCAGTCTGCAAAAATATCTGTTATTTAACTGTGAAAATAAATCCCTTTCAAGACCAGTTATATACGGAAAGGATTTATTTATGCCTGACCCATGGAAGGAAATTGCTTTCTTCTAATAGATAATATTATTTAAAGCGGGAATTGTCATAGGTTGTGTAAAAATGGCAAATTGAAAACAATGTGAAACTGAATTCCGTTCGTGCTTCTCTTTCACCATTCTAACATACAGCAATCATTGGGCCACCTGATGTAAAAGTGAAGTCTGAGTCTGGGTCCCTGCATGTGGATTTCATAGGCCCTTTTGCTGAACAGGAACATGACAGGTGGCCTCTAAAGCAATATTATGGCTCGTGGAATTACAGAATACTGTGCTGGAAGAAAGGCAGCAATACAGAGGTAACTTCTGTTTCCTGCATGTGATTCCATGACTTGGATATATGCTTTTCTTGTTAAAACACCGTACTGATAAAGTTCGGAAAGCTAACAGTACTTAAGTAAAAATGTATCTCTGCTAATTACAGTGTAATAAAGTCTAGTCACTACAGCTGGTATTCAGAGCAAATGGCAGATAGCTGTGTAGTTAAATGGTAGCATGGATCTCATTTGCTCTTTCCATAATTAGAAACAACTGCTACGTTATGAGAGTTTATTCCCTCCGTTTAGCGATGATCTATTTGTGATGCAGTCTGCCCCACAAAATCTCTGTACGTCACACATCCAAGCAAGGGTAAACTTAGAAGCTGTAACATCAGCAGTATCTGTGATCATGGCAATAAGCTGACCTAGATCCAAATCTTACGTCATTCGAGTATGTGTGCTCTTCACGGGACTCTGGGCTTTGAATACCACCATGGCTGGGGCCTTATAGTAACAGTGGTCACCTTCACCTCTTCAATTTCTATCAGTTGTAATTTGCTCTCTTCCTCTCATGGACAGCCTCTTCCACAGGCAGTTACTCAGCTCAAAAAACTTCTCCATATAAAATGCATGGAGAAACATAATAAATAATATATTAATTGTAGGGTTGTGAGTTCTATTACAGGAAAAAATGAAGCCCTTTACTGGAAGGTATCAGTCATAGTATAATTAGTGCTTTGTACATACGTACAATTTTCATATAATAGGACTCCATTACCTATAATTCTGATTTGTATTTGTTACCCTGCAAAATTCTTTGGCATTCAGTTCCAGAAAATGAGAGATCATCATTTCCCCAAAACCAGACTGGTTTTCAGCTCCCAAACTACAAGAAATGAAGGTATTTGTATGGAAAGTAGCATGGCCAGCAGGAGTGGGGAAGTGATCGTCCCCCTTTGCTGGGCACTGGTGAGGCCGCACCTCGAATACTGTGTTCAATTCTGGGCCCCTCACTCCAAGAAGGACATTGAGGCACTGGAGTGTGTCCAGAGAAGAGCAATGAAGCTGTTGAGGGGTCTGGAGCACAAGTCTGATGAGGGAGCTGGGGGTGTTTAGCCTGTAGAAGAGGACGCTGAGGGGAGACCTTCTCGCCCTCTACAGCTGCCTGACAGGAGGCTGTAGCCAGGTGGGGGTCGGCCTCTTCTCTCCACGACGATAGGACGAGGGGAAATGGCCTCAAGCTGTGCCAGGGCAGGTTTAGGATGGACATTAGGAAAAATTTCTTTACCAAAAAGGTTATCAATCATTGGAACGGGCTGCCCAGGGAAGTAGTTGAGTCCCCATCCCTGGAGGTACTTAAAACACCTGTAGATGTGGTGCTTAGGGACATGGTTTAATGGTGGACTTGGCAGTGGTTGGACTTGAGCTTGCAGGCCTTTTCCAGCCTATGTTACTCTGTGATTCTGTACATTTCCATAGGGATCAAAGAGGCAACAGGCATAGGCTGTGTAACTTCATAGGTTGTTTTTTGAAGTGAATGTTTGCTCAAAATGTTGAAACCTAGCTATAGAGTCTTCTCAGCCCTGCAGAAGAATCTGTTAATACATAGTGGGGCATGTTGTAGGGATTCCTATACTCTGCAGGGAACCGTATAGTTACAAGGACATAACCAATCATGCCTCTAAACAGCAAGTTGCATCTGCTGTTAGTCACCTAATAGCTTCCACAAGCCTTTTTCTTTCTCTGTCTTTAATTTCTCTTGTTTAGATTATCCATCCTACTTGCTCCATCTTAAATTAAATTAAGTTTGTGACAGCAGTCTTAGTTGATCTCATTTGGTTAGGCAGTTGTTTCTCTCTGCAAGCAGATCTCATTTATCACTTCTCCGTAGGCCTTTTTAGCCTAAAACTTCATTAATGCTGCTAGAAACAGCCTTAAAGTCAGTGGTGTGAGTGGTCTCGCACTCTGACCACAGGTGAAATCGCTGTATCCATTATGTGACAGACAGGGTGTTTCGTTCTGCCTTTAAAAGTTTCATTCACATTGCAGCTGTAACTGCTAGGATTTGTCCTACTAAATGTAATTTTAATTACTTAGCTAGTCCATTTACTTGGACTCAAGCTTTTCAAATTTTTTGTATTCTCTGTTGCTAGATAACTCACATCGATACGAAACATAACTCTGAAATATTATCTCAGTTGGAGCCATGGACAATATATTGTATTCGAGTGCAAGCAGTTATCCCCGAGTGGAACAAAACAGGCAAACTGAGTGAAGAGCTCTGTGAGCAGACAACCCACAACGGTAATACCCGGTGCATCACAGTGTAACGTGTAAACTTTCCAAAAGTGGATGCATTTGTTACTTCAGTATTGTTTGGTCGTTAATACGTGTGCACCTTTGGAGGAGGGGAGTTGAAAACGAAGTGAAAAATACGAGCAATATAGCACCAATGGCATGATGCTTTACTTTGCTGCAGAGGCCTGAAAATCAGAGTTAAATGGAGTATAGGCTCTTCACTGATCACACTGTGTGCCTGAACTTCTTATACCATTAGCTGTATTCATTATCCTATGAAAGCCTTTGTTTCATGTATCTGCAACCAAGAATTGGACCCTGTGTTGCAGTCTGCTTCATCTGTGGCAGTATTGCCAGTGTCTGTCATGAGGCTAGGCCGTGATGCTCTTTCTCTGTGGCACACAGTGGTTACTAATCAACAATATGAAGAACTATTTTGTCTCAAGGCTTTCGTTTTCATTTTGAAGTCAGTTAAGTCCCAAAAGTGCTTTCCTTTCCAGCCATGCTACCTTAGCTGCTGTCTGTGGAGTCCAGCAATAACCAGACCACATGGTCTGACCCTGTCGTCTTAGCAGGGAGCTTTATGTCCCTAGCTAAAAGTAAAGATAGAGTCCTAGATACTGTCCTTTTCACAGGCATAATGTGTATTTTAAGTAACTTACACCCTCAGATAAATTGTGGAAAATCGGAGACACGAGTTGAGCAAGTTGATGAGGCATCTGGGGGAAGCCACAGGGCTAACCTGTTTCTCACATGTTTTTTCTAATAAAATGTTTCCTCACGTATTTTTCCCACATGTATATTATCTGCTTGCACTGCGGTTGAATTGCAGGTGGGTTTTGGTGGTGGTGTTGCTTGTTAGTTCGTGGCTAGAACAGCGCTTACCAAGCACAGGTTGGTTTAAAACATTTATGCAGTGATGTATGGATACATCTTCATTCCCATTGCCTGTTGTGAAATCCCCGTGCATGACACAATTTTTTTAAAAGCTCAGGAGTTTAGTATTTTACAGGCTTTTGTCCCCTATTGTCTTCACTTTGCTGCCATTTTTACAGATTTATTTAAGAGAAAAGTGGAAGCCTATATTCTGGTAGTATTATGTGTCAACCGCTACACTCCTGAAACACCAAAGAGTATACAGTAGCTTTGTACGTGATATCGCCTTGTGGATGCATGTAGAATCACCCGTAGGTGTAACTGTAAATATCTGAATAGGATAGCTTGTAAGCTTACTTTATTGAGAACTTCCTCAGCCTGTCCAGGCTAAAAATTTAAGAGCTAAGAGGTATTTTGCATCTGGAAACAAAGACTTATGTTTGCAGTTACAGTTTTGTAATAGTTTGTAGTTTGTTTTTTTTTTTCATTCCAGAGAGAACATGATAATTTGAAATGAATGTATCCAGCAATTAATAATCACAGTTTAATATTTTTTTTTCTTGTCTCTTGCAGGCGTAACTCCTGTGTGGATAATTGTGACCGTTCTTATAGGGTCAATGTTGGTCGTTGTAATATCTGTTCCCGTTTGTTTCTTTTCCTTTCTGCATCTATATCGACTCACCAAACATGTTTTCTGCCCTTCATATATTTTCCCGCAACACTTGAAAGAGGTTTGTTTTCTACCTAACACAACTAAAATCGGCCTTTTCAGCAGAACCGCCTGCCTTTCAAAGGCTCTCTGTGCCAAAACCTTTAGAGCTGCTTTTATTTTGCCTTCTTTTGTTTGCACCTGATTGTTAGCCATCTGTAAAGCACAGACTGTTCTGAGGGGGTTTTAGGCTATAAGGGGCAATGCTAGTTACCCGTTGTTACGTAGTTGTTGTGCGTGGTAAAACTCGCTCTTCTGCCAAACTCAAAAAGCCATTCAAATAAGCATAAATGAACATTGGAAAAAGCTGACAAAGGAAGGTACTTTTCAGTGTGAGAAAGGCAGTGGAAGTTAGTTCATGTAACATTTAAATTCTGGCATTATAAGGTCATCAATTTTGCATGCATGTTACCTCATTTTTTTCATCATGTTCTGTGGCGCTGCGTAGACATAAGTAATAAGCAGTGAAGTTAGACTTCCTTTTGAAGTATACTGATGTATAATAAACTCTACAATACCGTCATTCTGAGTTGTTCTGCACAGAATGGCCCAAAATATTTAAAAGCTGGACAACTTAAAAACTTGGCATATGCAGTATGAAGCTTTGTATGGCTTAGAAACAGGACATCTTCTTTTGTTTTAAAGTGAGAGAATAACAGGTGTTAACCTTCAGTTCCTCTTTTTAGACAGTGAATAACTGAGCTATCTGTCTCCGCTATCCCATTTTGGACTTAAAATTGCACGTTTGTTCTCCGAAAACAAAGTTCTTTAGCAAATATGAGTTTTAGCTTAAGTAAAGAATGTAGCGAAATCTGAAAATTCAAGATGAAGTGAGAGCGATGCATGTTTAGCCATCACCGTTGGGGAATGCCACTGACCCCATTGCCCATACAGCAACTTCAAAAGGCTGTATCAGAATCTCCTCCAAGAAACAAGGCGATACAGAGCGTTACATACGCTACAGTTAGCGACCTGTCCTCTTCTGAGTTTCCTGCACTTTCTCTGGATCTTTCACCGTGACTCATTTAAACGAGTTCAGCAGACTTAAGGCTTTGCAGCTGACTTGGCAATCGTCTTGTGCTTTAAGCCGAGCATGTGCTCAGCACCCAGTAGTGTGCTGAACCTGGAGCTCAGCTGTTGGGAAGGTAGCATCAGTACAGGATATGGACAAATTCCGTTTTGCTCACAGGTTTCTCACGAGAAAGGGAGAATTTTCATTTTGTGCTAGTGGGTTGTAGTGGTTAATCACAGTAATCAAAGGTCAGGCGTGCTTACCTAAAATGACATTTATCAAAGGCAGTGGTTTCGCTACATGAACGTTTGAGATTGCAGGTTACTGACAGAGTATTTCAAATCACAGTTCTCTAGAAAAAGGTCTAATAGTAATAACATTAGTATTTATTTTTGTAGTCACAGTGAACAGGACTCCTGATAGATCAGCTTGTTTCTTCTGTAAGATGTGCTAAAGTAACAGACGGAGGTCAGGCCACAAGAACAAAATGCAGTTGTACTCCTCCAGCCGCTACCAATAAACTGAACTGCCACTTCAGCTGCCAGAATGCATGGCTGACGTGTTATTACTGCGTTGAGTAGGTGTGCTGTTCTTGTGTTGACATTCAAAATACAGTCATGACATCCTGCAAAGTCCATGTTGATTCTTGAGGCCAGTTCTGTCTTATTAATAGAGCACAGAGTGGGAGGAAGTTGTGATATTTCGGTACTAAAATTGTCATCTTTCTCACTGAACTGCCTAGCTCCACAAATCTCCCTCCCTCTCCTTTGCTTGACTAAATGGTTATGGTTTATGGTGACATTTAAAGCACCGCTATTTGATGCCTGAGCAGACAGGTCTCTCAGATGGTATGAACAATTCACATCTTTTGGAGCTATTTGATAAATCTCTCTGCAAACTCCTTCACTGACAGTCCAGACACCATTTTCAGTTTTTGCTTCCAAACAAAATCTAGGTATTTTATTTTTTAAGAAAGTTTATATTCCAAAGAAGTCACTAACCCCTGGGGTATCTTCTTGCAAATAAAAGCACTGCCGACTTGCTTCCAAGCCTTGCGCAGGATGTTAAAGCGAGCAGAGAGGTTATTACATCGTCACCACTCTGGGACTTCTAAGGATTCAGAAAGCCAATTGTCATGTGGAAAACAATATAAAACCTATTTTGAAGCAAACAGGATGGTACAGCTGATGCAGCTTAATTCTCACTTCCTCTTTCTTTCACAGTTTTTGAGCAAGCCTACCAGTGGTTCGCAGTTTTTTCCTCCGCTCCCACAAGAGGAACATCTTTTTTATGACAAGCTAACTGTCATTTCAGAAGAATCCAAAAATAAAAGCAATGGGGCAGGGGATGAGGCCAGCAAGATAACAGAGAACCTTCAGGACTCTGAACAAGAAGATTCTGATTCAAGAATAGTGCCAGCTTCAGAAAAGGCCTAAATGCACTCCTCGTACTTCACTCGGACCAAAAGAAAAATAAATGGGCTGTTGAATTAATCTTCTTACTGCTGCATCCTTAAGACAATAGAAATTCATACCCGAAGATGTGTACACAGACTTTTGACAGAATCAGATTATTTTTTTAAAGTACAACAAGCTTGATTATAAATGAGGAATTAAATTATAAGTAATTTTTGCCACTGTAGTGGCTCACTGTTGTAGCAATACTTAGGACTGTATTATGACATTAATTTAAAAAGCAAATATATATAATACTAGTTAATTTAACTTTGATTATTTATTGCAAAAGCTAATCAAAATGGTATATTGTCTAAGGTTTGTAAAAGAAAATCATATTTTGTAAAGAAAGACCTGATCTGATGTATTTTTTTTTAATGAGAAATTGTGTGGATTTCTTAAGGATATCCCTAGTGGCATAATCTTTTTACTGGATATTTTTTTACCTGATGCAAAACTGTAAAGTTATTATGATGGTGTGAACTTGGTAGGAATAAACCAAACACAAATATTCAGTGTGTTTTGCACTGCAAGGTGTTACTCATACTTCATCGCTAAGGATAATTGGAACATACCGGAGCAGTGCCAGATCGCCCGCTATGTTCAGGTATTGCTCAGTCCCCGGAGCGTCTGCCCTGCAGTTGCTGTGGCTAATTAAATTTTGCCTGCCTAGTCCAGAACTCACTGAAGTCTGAGGAAAACTTCGCAGCTAAAGTGGGAGTCAAAAGGCAGGCTCATTTTGTTTTATCTACTGATACATATTCTTAATTCAAAAAAAAGTAAATCTGGGTTGGTGTGACTCCCATGCTACGTAATACAATCTCACCTGCACAGCCCTGTTGGTGCCCATGAAGGTCATGTCCACACCAACATCGGGACGTGAAGTGTGGCAGTTGCACTGCGCGCTGGTCTTGTGAGTGACGCGATTTTTTTGGTGTGTATTACTACATCAAAATGAGAGTGAAAAATTAAATTCTGTCAGCAAAAGTGACTCGCCACGAGTGAACTTGTGTGTAAATCATACCTTGCTGTGGAAATCGCAAAATTTTGGGCTATGGTTTGAGGTTTGTTAATTAACACGAAAACATTCACTTCTTGGGAAGCTGTTGCAGGAAGAAAACATAAGGAGCAGGCGCTGATTCTTTGTACCACCCAGCTAGACGTAATCTGCACACATTTTTTCTGCACTTTTTAATATTCATCATATTTTCATTTACTGTGGAATATGAAAAAAGGGGGAAGCATTTTCATTTTTTTAATGCATTTTGTTTCACTGGTGCTTTTCTTCACCTCTCGCCAAAGCTGCTTTGTGAGTGCTGACCCTAATGAAGGCCCATGCCCTGTGTCTGGTACACCTCTCCACCGTAAAAATGCAGCTCCCTGTGTGTTCCCTATTCCTCCTGCCACAGTAGCAGCTGCTTCTGTGTTTGGTTTTGTTTTGAGGTTGTTTTTTTCGCCTTCAGAAAGGCAAAACCCACATAGCACAATTCATATGACCAATGCATGTGCTAGTTGGCTGGCCAGCTGCTGTCAGAAGAGAAGAGGGTTGAGATTTCCCTGCCTTTTTCTCACTCTTGTAGTAGAGCTGCTTTCATCTATCCAGCGGCTGATTTTCATGGAAGGGTGGGAAGTTACTGTCTATCAAATGTGTCTGAAATCAATCAGCTGGCTCAAAGGTTATGATAGGGGCATGGATAAGACAGTCCCATGTGCTGTGTCACTTCATTACAGGTTCATTGGTAAACCAGACTGGGGGAGAGAAAAAAAATAATCTTGGCTATGCAGAGATACATTGGTTTTAGATTAAAGCAGGAAGAATGCGTCCAAGAACATAGTGTCTGAAATTCTGAGAGGTTGGCTTCCCCCATTTAAAAAGAGGAAGTGTTTCTCCCCATGTCTGTGCCAATACCAGTTGTACAATCACATAAGAAGGGAAGACTCTTCTCAGAATACTGCTTCCTCTTTCAACACATCCAGACATACGGGGTAAGGAAGGATTTGTCCTGACTGCTTTGTTTAACCTTTCTTTTATATGGAACGTGGTGGCTTTAAAGAAACTGCTGGTTTAGGTTCATGTGAGTCCATATTTAACCTACTGTCTATAGTGTTGTCCAAAAGCCTTTATATAGTGAATTCCAAAATGAAAAATATATTAAGAATCCAGCTGCACCATGACTAGCACAAAATAGGAATGAATTTCCCAACTCTGCATCTTGATAGGTCGCCAAAGTTTCCAGAAAGTCCAGAGACCTGTACGATCCTAGAAACGGTTCAACCCTTGGTCACACCATGCTCCGGCAGCCTGAGGACATCAAGCAGACAGAGCTGTTTATTAGACTACGGCATAGCTGGTGTTACTCTAATGCAGATAACTTGGTAAATACAGTTAAGAGATTATATGCCACACAGAACAGAAATGAAGGCTCTGATGCAGAATATATTTAATAATGATCATTGTGAAAGGGCAGCGAGACATTCTGTGAAATCCTGATTTGATTATCTGGTGCCAGCAGTCTTATTTTGTGTAGAGCTAACCCTGTAGTCAGGGCATCCTCTAACACTGATGTCTGCTTGCTTGTCTGCTCCCCCTTCGGTCATGTAAGCAATCCACAGCATGTGCATCATGTGCAGTGTAGCAAAGCCTCATTTGTATCTCTGTGTATAAAGGAATTAAAAAGTAATGCTAAATAATGATTTGACCTTGTGGAGGACTGTGATTAATGCTTCAATGCTGACTTCTCACCTCAGGTTAAATCGCTTAGCTGCATTGCCCTTACAATTCCCTCAGCTCTTAAATGAGGATTATGGTATGCAGATAGTGCAGTAATGGGAGAGACAGAAGCCCCCTAAGTCAGCAGATGGACATCGTGTGCATGGGGACAGAGCAAGCAGGAGAGGGATAAGGCCTGTAGCTAACGCAAACGGCACCTGAGAAATCCCAGCGAGGCTGTTCAACGCACCGAGAGGAGGAGAGGGGAAGCTGTACATTCAGTGACTGACAGAAGACAGATTTAGCTCGCTGAACCAGGCAAGGCATTTCTTGGATGACTCCTATTTTCTTTGCTAAATTTCACTCTGACCTCAGAAGAGCATTTAGGACTAAAAAGATGGTGATAAGCTGTACTTCAGAGCTCTTAGACGTGGTGCTCATGGAGACCTGGCCTGCGGTAAATGTGAAGCATCTCAACCTCCAGGCATGACCCACAGCAGTTGAAGGAACCTGCCACAGACAAACGAGGTTCTTCCTCCACACATAGAAGGAACTTTCCTGTAAAAGTTCAGGCACATGATATGAATTGCAAATACAGGGCAGTGCAAGAAGGATGGGAAGAACTCACAGCACTATGAAAAGGGAAAGCCCGGCTCATTTTCCACTTCTGATTTCTCACCTCTGACTTATTTTGTTCACTTCATTTTGTATTAACCTGACCAAAACCCAGCTAAGCCATTAATGTCTACAGCTTTTACTCACACGTTGCTAAGCAGCTATGCCTGGGGATTTTGGGTTTTTCCAGTACTTTGTTATTTAATGGGCTAAGATCCAGTAAATCGGTTAAGGGTAGACCAAAGGACTAAGTGACAAGGGTGATGTATTCAGAAACTCTAATTCTAGCCCCATAAGGCAAATCCCTCGGGCTCTCCCAAGACAGTCACTCCTTCAGAAGGCAACTGCCTGGGATCCTTCTCTGGAAGAGCATCTCTTTCCTTGATGACTACAAAAAAACCCAAAACCAAACAAAACAGGCTTCTTTTTCCTCTTAGGCAAGGTTAGTCGATACAAATACCTCTTGGACATCTTGTATTCCTTCTTTCTGCTCTTCAGGGAAGTCAGGAATCTCGTTGTGACTGGCACCAAGGCCAGATGTGGCTAAGGTCAGGTATCGCAGTGCCACTTGAGAGGAATTAAAGGTTACTTTCACTTCTAAAGGTCAACCTTTCCTAAGAGCTCCTAAAAGCAGTCCAGATTTTCTTCTTCAGGCTGAGTTGTGGTTTGGTTTGCTTCAGAAGTCTTCCTATTCCAAACTGAGTCCTCACAGGAAATCCTTTGCAGGTCAGAGCCCTCTTCCGCCACAAGGGCCACATCTTCACTGGGATGTGCAAAATGAACCAACAGTCCTGGGGAAAAGGTGCAGCCTCTGGCTGTACCCAAATGGTCTGCCTGGCCCCACAGGTACCCCAGGCAGTATATGGCACCTAGTGACTCTTCAGAGAAGCAATAATTTAGAGAAGAGTTGATCTTGAGCTAAGCTTGTGGAGAGTACGATGAAAATGAATCAATAAAACAGGCAAACTTCTGTGTTAGGATTTAAACTGCAAAGTATGGAAGTATGCTGCTAACTTGGGCACAGCGTGCCAGGGGTTTTGGCAAAGCAATGAGTAAAACAGACTACTTTGAAGACCTGGGACTTTATTGGAAAAATATTTTAGACATGAAATGTAAAGCGGAGCAGGATGATTAAGGAATGGAGAAGTGAGGGAAACTGAGGGAGAGCAGTCTAGTCTTGTGGCAAACAAAACAGATTATAGAAGAGGGCAATAAGGTAAGGCAGAGAAGGAACAGGAGTTTAGCACGTTCTGGTCAAGGGAGTGGAGCAAGCCTGTCAGGGAGAAAGGGAACACTGGAGCCCATGGCCAACCAAGGAACTAGGGATGCGATCGCCCACCAGCTCCATTTTCCTTTTATCTCTCCATATTGGTAACTTTGGTGTCTTCCCTCCCCAGCAGGTCCTGGAGGCATCAGGGAACACTGGCTGGCTGCAGAGCACAGATCCGCATCTGCTGGCTGCCCAGCCAGAAAGAGTCCTGCTGAGCAGCATAGCCAGAAAGGCTTTCAGCAACTTTAACTCTACATCCACAATAAGCGATGGAAAAAGCCTTTGAACAGATTCTTAACCAGAAATACAGCATAAGAATTTGTGATATTAACTTACCCATTTTTTTTCTGAGGCAGGTTGGGAAATAACCATTGTTACTCAGCAGAATGTAATTTTCTAGTAACCATCAGTTATTGAGTAAGTGGTATGGAGTGTCTGTGCGAATGAAGGCTCCTTCCCTTGATATTGCACTGTCATGAGAAAGAAAGGTGAAAATAGCTGTTTTACAGGAAGAACTGTGAATAATCATCAGGCTTAGCTGACCATCTGCATGCAATATACTGGAAATTGGTCGTTTGCATTTCCTAATACAGAGTCCTTTCTTATTTCTCCCTTACAAATTGGATTTCCTTAAGTTAATTTTGCATGCTTTCAGGCAATTACTGTAAAAGACTGAAGGCATGGAATGAAAATTATATCAAAAGACAAATGAAAAACCACTGGGGAAATCTTACAGAGGAAATCCTGGCTCCAGTAGAACTGATGTGCACTCACTAATGCCAGGATTTCACCCTGGAGAAACCACCAGACCAAAGAATCTTTTAAATAACTTTCAGCTCTTCCATTTCCCCATCAACTCTGACATCACGTCACTCAAATATTGTCTCTCATTTCTACTCCCTTCTCTCAGCTCCTGTTGTTTACATTACACTTTCTAAAATCAGATGCAAAGTCTTCAGAGCAGGGACTTCCTTTTCCAATCTCTGTGAGTAACATAGTCACAAAGACAATGTAAATCACAGCTGGAGCTGTGCACATGGGTTAGATTTAAAGACATGCTGACATAACAGTACGACCAGGCTCTGAAACTCACCCTAACCAAGCACAACTTGCTGATCATTATGAATTATCTATGAAGATGAAAGTTGTAGCTGTATTATAGATAGGCATCTTGAAGATACTAGATAGGCCTACGTAGGCTGTAAAAAGGCAGGTTGACAGCAGGCTTTCCACCTGGTTGATGCCTGGTTGATGCAAATTATGACACCTCTGCCCCTCAAAATCTACTGCACTGTTCTGACCAGGTGCCTGTGTTTTATGTACCTGAGTTTTCTCATGTGCTGAAAATATTCAGCTGTCTCATGGCTAAAAACATTTCTGACACACAGAATCATATCTGTCCCCAACCCAGCTTTGTCTTTGTAGATGTCAGGGTGGAGGGTCAAAAGAAAAGGGCAAAAGCTGAACCTAAGGGTCCTTCTAGAACTTCATGAGTGTGAGAATAAAATACTAATGCAGGAAATGTCCTTTGAAATACACTTAAATAA